TGCAAAAAGAGAGAAAAATACTTACAAAATATGCTTCCTCTGAATATTTAGATTGGTAGTTATTCCATTTGATTTGAAATAATTGTAAAATTAAAATTTTACTTTGTTGGAGATAATTTCTTTGTAAAATTTTACTTTGTTGGAGATAATTTTCTTTGTAACACCTAAAATTCTGACATAAGAAAAGTTGTTTGCTTATCATTTTATTCAAGATGTAATTCCACTGATATTATTATTAGTATTTTCTTAAAATCTGGTCTATTCTGCATGTAATGTTACCCTTAATAATGATAGTAAAGGAATATTGTTAAACAGGGAGAGAGGCATTTGGTAATACAGTACAATAGTCATTCATATTGATAAATTTGAGGTTGTTTTTCTGTTTGTGAACCAAGTGCTTGCATTTTGCAGTCATCTTGGGTAGTTGGACATGAATATAATAGAACCTGTGTTTTTTTTATAATCTCAGCCTTCCCCTCCCTCCCTTCTCCTGTAGTTTCCTATTCTGTCTTGTTGATATTATTAAACTTCATACATGTTAATAATATAAATTCCCTATGATAACTGAATTCATTAGGGCCTATTATCTGGCACATCTTCATTCTACCTATTTTGCTATTCCCTCCCTCTCACCCTCACCTCTCACCCTTGGGACCCTGGAGCCCTTATCATCTCACCATGTCTCCTTCTGTCATTCCTTTATACAGTTTATACACTGCCTTACTCAGATGAGCGATATCATATCATATTTATAATAGTGTGTCTGATTTTACCCAATATTTTATTTTCCAGATGCATTATTTTCCTGTAAATGTCTCAGATTTGTCCTTCCTTATAGATGACTCATATTCCATTATATATGGATATAATATTCTCTTTAACCTAACATCTCTTAATGGGAAAACAGGGTGTTTTCAGGATTTAGCTATTATGAATTGTGCTGCTAAAAACTTTTGTATGTATATATCAGTGTAGTATGATTTCTTAAATGCTTAGGGAAGAGACCAAAAGGAAAATAACTGGGTATTATTGAATTTTTCATTTTAGTTCTCTGAGAAACCTCCATATTGACATTTTAAGGTTTATAGTAGTTTACATTCCCACCAACAATGTGGAACGATTTATTTTATATTACAGTCACACAAATATTTGCTTTTAAAAGTTTCTTGATAGCCATTTTTTCCAGTAAGATGTGATGTTATCATTTTTAAAATTTTTATCTAGCTAGTGGTAAGACATTTCGAAAGTATTTTCAAATATTTGTTGGCTCTTTGTACTTCTTCCTCTGTGAAGTGTCTGTTCTTTCACTTGACCACTTCTTAACTGAGTCTTTAAGTTTAGGTGGTGCAATTTAGTTTTAGTTATTGATATATTCTAGATATTATTGCTCTGCCTGAGAAATAGCTGTGAATTTTTTTCTTCCAAACTGTAGGTTGTCTCTGCAATCTACTATTGGATTATTTTGCTATACATATGCTTTTTATGGTGATATAATCCAATTTCTTACTTGAACCTTGCTCTTAGCTCTTGTGTAGTTGATGTTCTGTTTAGAAAATGCTTTGCTACCTTTTGGCTTCTTGTGTTTTACACTCTGCATCATACAATTTTTAATGTTTCTATTTTGATGTTTTGGTTTTGATCTATTTTGATTTAATCTAAGACATGGTAGGAGATATAGATGCACACTGATCTTCTGCAAATAGATATTTGTCAAAGATCAATATCAGAAGCTATCTAGTGACGTTTCTGTATTCTTTAATGAAGTGGTGGTTATGATTTTCAGTACAGTGCAGTTTTATATCACTATTCTTTAATGTAGCCTCAATTCGGGTACTGAAAATTCTCCTCTTTGCTCTTCTTATCCCAAATTACTTTTGATATTCTGGTTTCGTCTGATTTCATATGATGTATAGGCTTATTTTTTCGATTTCAGTGAAGTATTCTGTTATTTTGTGTGGAACTTCACAGAATTTGTGCAAGTTTGGAGAGTATGACTGTTTGAAAATACTGGTTCTGCCTATCCTGGAGCACGGGACACCTTTCATTTCTGATGTCAGGTTCAATCTCCTTTTTCAAAGTGCTGTAGTGTTCTTCTTAGGGATCCTTTACTTCCTCCATTAGGTCATTTCTCATGTTTTTCTTCTTTCTTGAAGCTACTGTGAATGGTACAGGCTTCATAATTTTCTTCCCTTTAAGTGCACCATTAGTGTACGCAAAGTCTAATGATTTCTTTCAAGTTGATCTATCGTTCTACATTGCTTAAGTTAATTATTAATAGTCAGAGTCTGTGACAAATTTTCTTGGGTCTTGTATGTAGAGTATCATTCCATTTGCAAATAATAATAATTAAAGTTCTTTCCTTCATGTATATAACCCTTTCATTTCATTCTCTAACATTATTTCTCTGACAAAATTTGGAAGTACTAGGCTGAATAGAATAGTAAGTGCCTGACCTAATCTTGGTCTTGATTTCAGCGGGAATGTTTTTGTTTTGCCTCCTTTAATATTGTCTTTTGGTTTTTAACAAGTAGCTTTTATCACATTCAGTTATGGTCATCCTATACATTTTTTCTTCAGTGATCTTTTATTTCAAGTATGGCTCTTTGGATGTGGTTTAAAGTCTTTTCTGCATGTATTGATATAATTATGTAATTTTTTTACCTTACTTCCCCTTATGTGATATATTACATTTCCTGACGTAGGTATGCTAAAGTACCCTTGCATGACTGGGCTGAAAGCTAGTTGTTCATGATGTATGGCTTTTCTCATGGTATTCTCTATTCTATTTCCTAATATCTTGTGGAGGATTTTTGCTTCTGTGTTCATAAAAGAGATTGACTTATACTATTCCTTTTAAATTGGGTCTTCACTTGGTGTGGGAATCCTGGTGATT